AAGGATGGTATACAAGCTTTGTTTTGGGTATGCCACTACGCGTATTCAGAAACGTAGATTACGTACATAGGATTTGTCACTACTCTTTTTAAGAGATTAATGTCTTATGGGGCCCACTGATAAGCTATGATTGAGGAAATTGCATGGCCATGCTGAGATGTTTTTATGACGTATGTTCCTATCAGTCAGACTTGATAAATCAGTGAATGACTTAATGGATACAGGTTGGATTTTATTAATCCCTTTCATTAAGTCTAAACATTGAGACAAAGGGATACAGTTGCAAAGAGTTTGAGTCGTGGAAAGGTTTAAACGGTGCAAACGTCTTAACTTATAATCTGGGGGCAATAATGTGTTTCTAGATATCGCTTATTGCTTATAGTATTGGTGCAGAGCCAATACTGTGCCAAGCTTTATAAGTGCCTATACGGGTCACACACTTTGAACAATTTAAGGAGTAACATTAAGCAATGGGATAATAAGTAATTTTTATATTTGCAAAATAGTAAAATAAAATATTTTGGAGTATAATATATATTATATATACGGTTTATATATATATTTAATGTATATATGATAACACCGAAATATATATATATAAATATATTATATGTTGAATATTTTATATTGGTTTGTCATTTTAATTATGAAAATAGTCATTTTTGACATAAACTATTTAAAGTATATTTGTATACTTGTTTAAAAATGAAATTGGTATTTTTATTTGAATTAAAACTAATTTTATATTAATTTTTGGTGTCAAATAAAATACACTTTGAACACTTAAGTGGAGAAGAATTTTACAAATCCTTCTCACATGATTTTTTCGGCCATATCATTTAAGAGTAGAGGTGGCAATCGGGTCAACCGGATCGGTTTCGGGTTGGATTTTTTCGGTTCGGATATCTTTCGGATATATGTTATAATCGGTCCGGTTCGGTTCGGATCGGTTGAATTTCGGTTTGGGTTTGATTTGGTTCTATATATTTTTCGGTTCGGTTCGGTTTCGAGCCGGTTCAGATACGGTTCGGTTATAAATCGATTCAGATAGATTTCGGTTTGGATACAATTTGAATCGGATATATTCCAGTTTCGGATCTAGTTCGGTTCGGATATATTTCGGTTTCGGATCAAATATATTTTGGATATATATTATTTTTCTAATGAAAATTTAATTATCCATGTTTCTTTTTATGCTTTATCACATTTATCAATCTATCATCAATTTAATACCCCATACTATTTTATATCTTTCTCTAATTATATTATCTCTACCCTAAATAATCTTTCCTCTTTGACTTTTTAG